TTTTTTTTATTATTGTTCAAATTTTCCGTTTGAGAAATGCTACGTCAAACATAATCTCGAGCCCTGAAATATGACAATATTTAAACCCAGCAATGCTGGAAGACAATGCTGTCATATCCGTTTTGTCTGCCCTTCCCCAATTAACTTATGTGCTAGTCATTAACTAACAAGGGAGCTATTAAAACGCATTTTACCCACTTAACGAGGCACAAACCATTTAACACCTTTAGTTGCGTGTGATGGTTGATTAAATTTGTTTGTAGTTTGAATGAGGTTAACGTTCTTATTGTTTAAACTCGACAAGGAAGACATTCGATTTGGTTTCACTTAAATTGTCACGTAATCCAACCGTTAAATCAGTACAATGTAATTCAAGCACTGTAAAAAACAAACACAAGAAACTACCATACCATTTGCGAAAGCAGGCAGCAGACAGCGTGGAGATCAATTTTTAAGGCTTAAGTTCATTTTATTGACTCAAAGGACCAATAGGTTGAAGGCAGAATAATTAAAATTTGCCCAATCACTTTATGGCCGGCCTTCAATTTGTGTTTCTTACTTTTTTTTTTTTTCTCGCTACTCTTTACAAGCTAATTTCAGGTACTATACCACAACGTACTAATCAGTCATTTCCCGAGTTTGCATCCAGGTGCCAATCTTCAACTTCTCCTTCATAGGCGAGTATCAAGAAATATTTGTTGAGTCTTGCTTTATCAGTAAATAATTAAGTGTTTTCCTAGTCAGAAACGTTGTCAATTTGGTCGAGAGAATTTACAGCTAATGCAACAGATATAGGGCTAAGAAGACTATAACAATATTTGGAAATCCCCATTTGATAATGATATATTAGAAAAAAATGCTTTAAAAACGTTGTTTCAAAATTAATTTTATGAGTAACTTGTAGACAATGAAAATTAACATTGTATGAATGACAAAATAGATTTGAACGGTTGGGAATGGAGTGCCATTTTTGCTGGCCTGGGCACAAGTCTCATGTTACGTCTAGCAGTCGGAGTCTCCCGACGATTTTGCCAATTTTGTTGTCCAATCAGAAAATGGTACAGGTACATCGTAACTTTTGGTAACCAAACAACTTTCGTAACCAGTCGACCCGTCCTCAGAGCCTCTCTTTTCTTTAAGCGAGAGGGTCTAGGTGCGAGGTAAGCCTTGTCAGCTAAGCTGAAGGGCGATATAGATTTCGGAGACGCAATCCTTGCGAGGACGGGTTTTTCTACTATACAGTCTGGGAAAAGTGGAGAACGTAATAATTTTTCCAAGATTTTTTTCTTTATGAGGACACTGTCCCGAAGTTAATTGCTTTGCCTTAGATACAATTTACTGTCAGCACTACTGAAATAATTCACGGTCAGTTTCCCAAATTTTCAGCGGTTCATTTTGCCTTTACCAACGTAAAGTTAAAAAATAAATCCACTAAATGTGTGACTAAAATGAATGGAAAAAAAATGAACTTCAAAAGCAGTGAAACAGGACTTAAAGGATTGAAAGATTTCGCTGCGCTTCTTATCAGTCGGCCGAATTTTAGCTATTGCGTTTTCAATTTTTGAGTTAATTTTAAATTTGCCACTAAAAAGCACAAATTTAATCTAATATCTGCCTTTCTCAAGAAATTCAACTTTGTCCGGGTTAGCGTTTGAGTCATCGATCCGAAGCATGGATTCGTGCAGTTTGTTCTCAGACTACGATGTCACCGGCTTTAATATCCATACACTAAAGGATTTGTCTAATTCTGTTAACTGTAGGTTCTTGCAAGGAACTGTGCTCATAAATGGGAACTGTGAGCATAAACTGTTCATTTCATCTTTTTTTCTCGTTTTCTCTGTCCTCGATCTGGGAATTTGAATGGATGGCCTCATGGCAGGCTAGACTAACTTGGTTATGGCCCCGATCTTTTCTCATTTCCATAAAGGGTGATGGTTGTACCCCTTCCTCTTAAGCTATATATAAAGAATAAAAGTAGAAACATATCCAAAATATTGAACATTTATTAAACAGGAGTACAGTCGGTGAGCGATAAATGATTTCAGTGGAAAGAAATTGAGCAATATAATGTCCAGTGAAAGCCTTCAGAATATCTTCCTTTTCTTAGTGGTCACTCTTCACTGCTTTGTGGTTCTACAAAATGTAAATGAGAACAATAGAACTCTTTAAAATGTCTTGAATATATCCCAAACGTCAATTGCTGTTAAATAAATAAATAAATAAATAAATAAATAAATAAATAAATA